GGGGGGGAGGGGGGAATAAAAAGCTGCCTGCAAAATTTCTTTTATTCTTTGACAGATGAGCACTTGACATAATAATGTAATAAATCATCAAAGCTAACCAATTATTTACTTTTGGGATGGCATTATTGTGTTCCAAACATGCCTTCAAAGAGCCAGAATTGGTTGTACATCAAAACTGAGCAATTTCCATCATGTACCTGTGCTTGGTGACAGCTGGTAAACACAGCAGGTGTTCATCTCTGTCGGAAAATCAAAAACAGGACAAAGCTGACTCATCAATTAGCGTTTTTAAAAACATGCTTTGTGAAGTGATTTCCTTCTGGGTCAAGCTTCTAATGAAATAGGATGACAAGATGACAATTCCCTCGTCAATTTCATTACTGATCTAGCTACCATAAGCGCATTAATGAAATCTGCAGCAAAGCAAAGGCTTGGTTTGGAGCATCATTCAGAGCATTATAACATATGAATAGAAGGGGTGATAATCTGCAGATCATCTGTCAAACAATTTGAAATCTTCATAGTTTGCATCAAAGGCACATGCAATGCTTTAAGCTAATACATGGGCCATGCATTGGAGCAAGGATCAATATGCTGTACTAGATCACCTACAACTGTGTAGAGGGATTTAACCAGAATTTTACAATATCTCAAATATTCTGTATTACTTGTTTGCTGAAACCTTTTTAACCTTTCAAACTGAAAAATTTGACATTTGAAACGACGAGAGAGACCATGGAAGCCTTTGTTAAATTTAGTTAAATTCTTAGCAATATCAACTATTTATGAATATTCATTTTGTAATTTCAGGCCTTACAGACAATACCCCTTCCCAATTTACTTCCACTATTGTGTGTGTGTGTGTGTGTGTGTATATATATATATTACTTAGGGAGACTCTCCTTACCAATTCAGCCTTATTCTCTTCCTTGATACTCTCAGCCTGCTGCAGCTCCTCTGAAGTCACTGGCTGCGTCTTATTTCTGCTGCCTCTCGTCTGCTGACTCGTTACCCTTCTCCGTGGTTTGGCCTCATTGTCATCACTGCCTTTTCTACTCAAATCTACAAAACAGAAAGGATAACTTACATATCAGATGTCTGTGTGTGGCAGATATAAAATGGAGAACTTGACAGTCCTTTCCTGATTGGAAATCTGCAGCTCACTCTCTGAAGTCTATTATTAAAATCCATACAAACAAAAGGTGTACTGTCAAGCCCAGTCTGCTAGCCTAGCTTGGGTCATAATGGTTACTGTACCACTGTGCTTCTGTAGTATTCACGCAGAATTACATCTACAATCTTTGGCAAAAACGAGTGATTTTTTGGCATTGCCGTGGCACAGATACTGGCCTATTGTTAATACACCAGAGATGGCAGGGAAAGTAATTCAATTGTTCAAGAAACCTATGCTCATGGATTATACACATGTCAAATCACAAGAACAACAGAGCTAGCACTCATACACCCTGCAATGTATCATGTTTGTGCAGTGAATACAGATTGGCTACCCTAGCAGGCTAAGCCTACCACAGCAGGCTAGGCCTACCCCAGCAGTCTTATCAATTCTTGACTACCACTATTCAGGGACACATTCGAGCTGTACCTGGTAATTAAAATAGTAGGCTAGCAACCAAAGTGTGTCTGAGTCTGTGTCTTTTCCAGACAATCCCAGACATACCAGCTGATGCTGAAATAATTCAGATCCCGCGAGATGCACCATTTGTCAACTGACAGACGTAATACAATTTAACTAATGAAATTCTTCCAAGGAGACCAATTCAACTGTCGTGGTTTCCGTTAGCAGTTTTTCCAATTATTTCATAAAAATAAAAGGATTCAGGGGCAAACAGTCACTTAATCTATCTTAAGACAGATTTTTTTCCAAAGAAGACACATTCTGTCTACAGATCTTGCATATTTACTTATCTTTTCCAATCCAGACCTGAACAATGATAAAACCCCTATAACAGAAGTACCTGATGTCAGTATTTCTGTCTGAAATGTACAGGGAGGCATGGACACCTAAATGTCTGGCTATACTATTACAACTTAATTATTTAATAAGTAATGATATAAAACATCGAGTTCCAGTGAAGGGATGGGTTTTCTAATGATTCACGAGAAGGAGTAAAATTGTTTTCTTTTTTTGAAGAAAATGCTATTTGACACAAAAATCCCAGACAGTATACCTCTAAATGGTTTTATCACTTACAGGTGCAAGAGGGAGGTTCTGTGGGATCAATTAAACTGATCACATTAATTTGACTTTGTTATAGAATCAAGATGGCAATTCCAAATGCACCACATAACATTGATACCCTTGTCCTTTTTCTTTGAGTCTGGGGTCTATACTTTTACAAAGATAAAACAAAATTAAATCAGGCACCTGGAAATAAGAATCACTTTTATCTATCTTCATCCACCTCTTTCAGATGAAACCCACCTTCAATAATTCTGATCCATCCATCAGGTTTGTTACCTACCTATTGAGAACATTCTATTGTCTGTTGGTCATATCCTTTTCTCTGCAGCAGTATAAGGTGTATATTGGTTTTTTCCAGGACAGACTGTCAGTATTAGTCACATGTATACCTTGTCTGCTGATAACTATCTCAACACAGGTATGAATATTAACGGTTTCAAGACACTGGTCTCTGATGAAAATTATTTCTCCAAGGAGTGCATTTCATCTGTGCCATAGGAACCTCTAATGCAGACATCCCATTGTCATATAATTGACAATAAACCTTCCACTGTTTGAGATTTCTGAGAGCTTATTCCTGGAATTAGTCTTTCCTTCTTAAGAACAGCTTATCCTATCAGAATTCAAGTCGAATGTCTCCACATGCAGAGTAATCCTAGTTGTTTAAAAATGATGAGAAATGAGAAAACCTCTTGGAATCATGAACTAATAATTAACACACAACTTCACAGGATTGTGTCCAGGTAAACTTTCTGCCTCCACTTCCTGCCATTACACATTTCTAGGAACAAATCACAGAATCATGTCCTTAAAATCACCTGCTTCTTTCACTACCGTGTTCAAACTAGTGAATTGAAACAAACCCTGCAGAGACACACCTGCTTATTCCTTATGCCACCTGAACACAGTCAACACATCACGCCTCATTACTCACTGTGATACGATATGACACAGTTCTATACTGCAACCCTGAGTTACACAGCCTACTGCTACTGGTGACAATAACCACAAGACTGATAAAAGATTGTGACATTCAGGGTGATCTGCTTTAGCATGGACATATAGGCAGGAACAGTAAGGTCCAATCTGAATCAAAATTTTACATAGATTCTATGCCATTTCTCAGGTTGGTGCTTGTAAGAGGGTAAAAAAGACACCTCCCCGTTTCCTGGTTTGGAAATTAATGAAAGATTTTGAGCCTCAGGGTGCACTGCTTTGGACTCCAAATCTACCTGCAGTGCTGAATAAATTTACACACTGAATAATCCCCTTCACTTGAATAAATCACCACTCACTTATGCAATATTCATCATCATCTCTGATTTCTCAAAAGACAAAAATTACTGAAGGGGCTTGATTAGAGTCAATCAAAGAGAAATCTTTTTTAAATTCTCATGGGACAAGAAAATGACTTGTTCAATATGGGACAATTGGTACATCCCAGAAAAATTAGGATCTACTCAGGACACAACTTTATTTTAAAAAATTAAAAGTTTATTATCTTTTAAACCAGTCTTTGTTTATATAAATACAAAATTAATGAACAGGGTCATATTTAATGTGTCACTTATGCCCTGTATACATATCTGAATATATCATCTTCTCTGTCAGCCTAATTCTACCATATAATTTACAGAAATTCTGTTATAAATGCATTTCAACAACAAAAAACGTTTTTGATGGTAGAGGGAATATCTGATCCAAACTGGAAAAAGGAAGCTGAAGGCGGAATTTCTGAATGAAATGAATAAATAAAACTGTGTTCTACTGTATCATTAAAATACTCAATCTGCTCATAAATGTCCCTCCCTTAAAAGACCTTGCTTATGGTTGTACAATTTTTCACTCCTTACAGGTAAAATGAAAATCTTGGTTAGATGCATTGGGAAATGCTATTTTTTTAAAGCAATCGAGACGGACAGATATTATACAAGAGAGAAGCTTTCATAATTCTCCCAGCTGTGGCAAGTCCAATATCATTAAACCTTATGTTTCATCTGGTGACAGCATTATACAAGCTTACTCCACCTTAATCTACATAACCACTCTCTCCACTCTGTTAAAGAATTAGAAAATACTAGCAGATATCAGAGAATGTGTGTAAAACATCACAGAATTGAATATGCTTGGACAGTGTGTGTGTGCACCCGTGTGTATGTGTGGGCGCACGTGCATGCATGTGTGTGATAATCCATAGAAATATCATGATTCATTGCCAAATGACCTGGAGTGGGGCAACACTACCCATATCTTATCATAACTTAAAACGTACAATAATAAGCCATACAAAAATGCACATTTAAATAAATTATGATACAATTTTTAATCTAAACCTAAGTACATAGAGAAGATTTATTGTAGCCACACACACACTTCCACACATTTATATAAAACCACTCCTAAAGTGGTAAGACAGCAGTATTGTTATCCTGACACTTTACTCAGCATCACTCAATAACCACGTTTAAGGTGAACTCCTGCAACTTGATAAAACATGCACCACTGGATTTGAAAGGATGCAAGTTGTGGATTCAACTAAGTTAACAGACACGTTATACCACGACGAGCCTGACAGAGGGTTATGAAAAATTGCTTTACCATAAGTTAAAACCTTATCGGTTTGTTTTAGAAAGTAAAAATTTTAGCTTGTAGCTTTTTCATTACCAATTTATCTATAAAATTGATAAGGGTGACCACTTAAATTGCCAACCCTGCTTTTGTAGTAGCAGGAAACAGAGAGGAAATCTAATTTGAAAGCTTACTTGGGTGTTCACAGAGAGATAAAACTTTGCTTACTTGGCCTCCATATGTAGGTAGATACATATATTACAGAACATGGCCCTGGATAAGTGGGCATCATTTTTCTTGGTACAATTTGTTCTTCAGTTTGTAGCCTCCTTAGACTTGTTCCTGCTCTCTCTTTTCCTCAAATTTCTCTTGAAGTTTTCCCAAATGCTTAAGAAGCTTCTTCACTGTTAGTATTTTTCCTTGGTTTTTCTCAAACAACAATTCGACTCTAAGCACAAATATATTATATCTCTCAGTTACCATGGACACCAGTTTTTTCTTAGTTTCTTGGCTGTGTCAATCTTCTTTGGTTTCTCCACATAGTTTTTGTCTCCTGGCAGTTCACATTTGCTGTACGTTAACCCTAGCTCCAAGAAATCATTTCCAAGTCTGGATAGCCGTCATGTAACCTAACTCTGCTCTATAGTCTTTACAATCAATACTCGATTCCTTTTATTGTATATTTTTTCCATCTCATAGCAGGTGGCATACAATG